TGTATACCAGAAAAATGGGCTAGGAGGAATGTAAATCTTCCAGATAAAACCTTATGTGAACTGATGTAAAAAAAAAAAACAAAAAAACAAAACAAACCCTTCACTCTTCCCAAAAATGCTGTGCTCTAGCTTTGTCAGAATTTCCACAGTACTATAACAAAAAACTCTCAAACTACAACTTTGCAAAAGATCAACTGTCTGTCAGTCAGTCCTGCTCATTTTTCCATTCACACCAAGTCATCACCTTCACATCCCAATGGGACAATTAGAGCATTCTTCCTCCAGTAACCTACAGTCTTCAAATATCAATGAAACAGCTATTTCCAGTGAATATATAGCTGTCCTGTGACAAGTGTCTATAACCTCATAGTATTGACATGATGTCCTTTGACAAAGGACTGACAAAGCAAACCCAAATCTTATCTTTGGAGAAAAAACTTGTAGCCTTTATTCTATGTTTTTAGCTTAATTATTTGCTTTTGTACCTAAATATAATTATTGAATTACTGAAGTTAAAGGTCTGTTTTTCTCCAAATGCCACACCATCATTTGAAAACGAAAATATCCATCAAGGGACTCAGAAATAGTAAAAAAAAAAATAAAATCTGTTCAAACACCATTACTTTTCATTATTTCATTCAGTGAAGCACAGAAGTCCTAACATTTTCATTTTATAGATCTTTTCTGCAACTGCATGCAGTATTAGCAAACTGCCCAATTTCTGCTGCTTAGTACAAATGCAGAGTATTTAAAATACACCAGCTGCTTAATTTCTTAATACGATACTATTTTAACATTTAAATTACTTCATACAATAGAATAATTCAGCTGGCAGGAACAACTAAACTTCCTGTTGCTATGCAATTCTATTCTGACAAGGATTTTCTTGATTACTTCAGCAGTTTCCCAGTGGGATACAAACCCAAATAACTCAGTTTTATCCAACTTTCAAGGAGCATTCATTACTTAACCACCAGCTTATACGTACTTTTCCAGTGGAAGAAAGTTCACTGCATGCCTTATACCCAATTTGCACCACAGCGGCAGGAAATAAGCAGTATCTGTTTCTATTGTACTATTAGCTTGTTTGAATGTTCTCTGCATGAAACCCGCACTCTACTTTTTTAATCTGCATGAAACATTTGACTCCCATCTTTTGAAGGAAAACAAATGGTATAAAAAGGCACTACACCTGTTCTATGTGAGAATTACTACTTTGGATAAGTAAAAGTAGTCTAAAGAAGTGCTCATCGTACCTGTAAGTATAACTGGGTTTGCAATTCACATAAATTTCTACCACTAACACGGTGCTTTAAACTGTTTGAAATATCAATTCCTCATTACCAAAAACAGTTTTTCCAACAATATACAGGTGCACAGTGACAAAATAAATTTATTTTTAAGGAGAAAGAAAGTGATGTAAGTATGGTGAAGGAACATACATAAGATATTAGACAGATGATGGTGATTATGTATGAAATGGAGCGAAGGTATTGCAATTACAGTCAAAAGGGTTCACATTCAGGGAATCCCTGAAGAATGGTGTGGTCATCAGATGTGGGAGATTCTGTTGACATCAGCATCACTTCTGCTTGGCACCAGAAATGGTTTTAAAAGCTTGCTGCACTAACATATTAGATTATCATTGAAGGTATGAGTTGAAACATAGGATTATACCTGCTGAAAGAGAACAAATTAATTTTAAGTACAAAAATATCAATGTAACATGAAAACTGAACTGTTAAAGCACAAATCAATACACAATTATAGTGGAATGCTCTGCATCATTTCAAGGACAAATTTAAAAGATGAGATGACTAATTTTAATCAAAACCAACTTGCTACTCACAAGTATGATACACAACTTGCCCTGTCATAAGACTAAGCAGAAAAGACACTAAGGAAAACATGAAAGAGCCTCAAGCCAAGATGCACACGAGAATGACCAGAACCAGCTCTTTCTAGTCAGAGGCATTGAACAATCTTCAGTTTTATACTGATTTAAAATAAACTATTGGACAAAAGGGCATTTCAAAGTAAAAGAGTGCACTTAAATTCTCAAAGCATTCTGGTATTAGATCTTTCTTATTACTTCAAATATGAAAACCAGAAAATGCAAGTAGAAAATGACACGTATAAAGTAATTATTCTCTTCTTCCTAATACAGCATAACTTTCTGATGTTAGAAAGCTTCTGGCTAGCAAATCCTGAAGGTAAAGATGAAATTGTTAAGAATAAAAGAGCACCTAAGGAAAAACGAAAAACCTGAGATCACATCTAATCAAGAAGAAAAAATGTAACAAAGTAGTTTTCCTTTCACATCCCTATACATGAGTATTAGCATACCCAAATAAAACTCCAACCTTTTATAAACTCCTAAAATAAAGTAACCAGAAAAGAAAAAAAAAAAAATCTGAAGAAACCAGATTACTTGCATTTAAGCATTCATCTGTATGTTTTGCATATATCATTTTAAATGCCAAAGCAGTAACCTTATTCTTTTCATCCAATGTTAAAAAGTAAGACCGAAGCTAAACAGTAGATGTAAGACATTAGAGATATCTAGAAACTCCAGATGTTATTGTCAAGATAGACAGGCATCTTTCAAATGACGATTTTTAATCTGCATGTTCTTTTATAGACAAAAGCTACAAACTGATCTGTTCTGAATTGGATATTTGAATTTCTGTTACTGGGGTGTTGGCCAAATCTCCATATGAAAGCTCTTCACAGACATGTCATTGAGGTTAAAACTTGACAGCATATCAGCTCCCAAACTTAAGGCATTTAGAGATATGGGCCCTAAAACTGGTGATTTAAACACTTAAGTCTTAGCTTTCACGCACACGAACAGCTGTGAGCAACAACTACCCGGACTGGATGTGATGCTGCCATCACTGAAGCATTACTGACTGCTGTAAGTCTACAGGAAGAAATGGCAAGTAATACAGTAAGAACGCTTCTCTGTTTCCTGTATCCATGAAAAGTTTCTTCCAATTGTGTTACACATAGGGAAGGCAAAAGTCACATTATCAGGGTTCTAAAAGAATAAGTTCATACAATAGTCAGATACCCCAGGTCCTTTACTGCTGAAAAATCTCAAAATCATGTTTTTCTTTGTTCAGATAGAAAAGCAAGGAAACAATTTAGTAATTTATGACAGGAAAGTTCTGCATGTAAACAACTTCTTAAGCGCTTCTAATGGAACTACACTTACAGACCTAACAAATTTAAATAGGTAACTGTCAGTTAGTTTTTTTGTTTTCATTAGGTTTCTAAATTGCATGTAACTTAACCAATGAATAACCAATACAATCTACAGTCCATTTGTATAAATTTCCTCCTGCAAACACTATGCATAATTACAAAAGACAGAACTTATCCTTTACATTCCAAATATTCAAATTACGTGTACGGTACTTTCAAAGATTTTAATTTTGCAACCACACAATTTTTTTAAAGAGCTCATAAACTATAGCCTTCATACGACAGGTAACTGCCAGCCATTGTTCAAAGGCATTTCATGAACAGACAAGTAAAGATTCAGGTAGATACAGAATAGTGAAGAGTATCTACTTTTATTACTGTTCTGTAAAAACAGCTTCTGCTGGACCTATACACTCAGGTCAGCTAAACAGGCAAAGAACATATTGACTGGGCAGAGCATCCTTTTTTTAGTCACGCCAGAGATGCTCTAATAGATGGATTATCAAACATGGCCAGTTTATTTTTTTTTTTTAAACCTGTACATAGAAGACATACAAGCCACATCATGCACAAAAAATATTGGTTATTTAACTAAAATTTAAGAACTGAAGCACTTCAACATGTCATTTTGTTTTAAATAACAGAAGATGCATTGGCTTTTTCAGTTATTTTAGTGGTCCACAAAATTTTTATCCAGCACTTTTACCTGTTCCTTGATGTCTTGTAACTGTTGCTGCAGCTTCTGTACATCCGCATTGACATTGGTGTTGTCTTTGTCTTTCTGCAAAACTGGAATGTTTCCACTTGCTGTAATTTAGAGAAAATAAAGATGGGTGAGTATGCATCAATCTAATGGAACAGGAATAATTATTTCCAGTGTACCAACTACAATTCTTCAATTATCTGAAATAACGTTAGTCAAACATATTTTATAATCTAATTCATGACAACATCACTGCAGCTCAATTCATAAAGAACTCAAATTTGAGTTTATTGGTGACACTTCTTTGACAAATATTTCCTCAATAATGATGCTCGAAATGCCTGTAGCCCCTTAATGTTCTCAGAGTTCTGATTTCCCAGTGAAGTCCCTGCAGTAAATTTTTTTGCACATGTAAAAAATAAAGCCAAATCCTTTCACACTGAAAAGACTTTATCTACACAGCTGATTCTTTTTGGTGTTCAAAACTGCACAAGCATCTTGGAAGTAGTTTGTTCAAAATCTGAACAAGCTCAGATTAATATTCCTGTATTTGACTGATCCGGCAAGCAATGTCACCGTAAGAAACAGAAAAATAGAGAAGTATTTCACATGACAAATTTTAAATTTCCAGTATGAGTACTAAAAACCTGACTTTAAGGATTATTCTTATATTTATCTATTTAGGAACAGTATGAGAAGAATAACCTAATATTCCAATTCACATAAACTCAATTCAAACACTGCATACCACACACACCCACACAGAGTAAATACAAATAATTCATAGAAATTATTCAGAGAAGTCACAAGAAGTTTAAGAACTAGTCAAAGCAAGAGATGTAAAACTGAACAATCTGTCATGAAAGTTGCTTGTACCTAGATGCAAAATATTTACCATTCCTTTACCAGTCAGAGAGTTCCAGAAATAAAAAAAAAAACAAAACCAAAAACATTTATTTGCTCATTTGCACAGTTACAGACAATCTTCAGCTTTTGCTTCATAGGACCTTAGTAAGTGGCCAAGAACTCATATATGTTTCCACTTCTTCCCTGGATGCTGGAAGCAATCCTTTAGTGCAATGACTGGTGTTACAATCGCATCTGCTGCTATCAGTGTAGAAAGCAGTGCGAACAGCAAATGGATACCTGGCTTAACACTGTTTTTAATAAACTTTTCCTTAAAAAGTAGAGGAAAGATTTAGGTAATTTAAAAGAATGGAATAAGAAGGTAGTGAGGGAATGTGAAAGAGTATGGCTTTTGGAGTCACTCACAAATATCATCAGTGGTATCTTCTGTACCTTTCCCTCCGCAGCACATTATGAAAGGCACTCTTCGCTCAACCACTGCCCGACACTGTACACATTTCTTCATCAAGCTTGCACAATCTGAGAGGACAAAGAAATAAATCAACTCTGAATCCTGCTCTTTCATTTTATTTCTTTCCTATCCATGCGCTTGTTTATTCATGGTAACTATATAGCAATGCCATAATAGATGCTTATAATACAAAACTACTTGTGTTCATCTTCACATCGTTTTCTGCAAATCACACCTATAAACAATGTCTTGTTTGGGATTCAAAGTAAACCTATTCTGTTCATCGTCTTTTAACATATTTAAAGTGAGCACATTCCTCTTTCTCCAAATGGATGTCTATTCCACAAGAATTACAGAAGTTAAAAAAGTAAAATTCACACACATTTGAGACCAGAACCTCCAAGAATGTCTTGACTACCTGCTTTTTCCTTTAGTACAAAGGATCTCACTTACTGTCCTAATGCTCCAGGGGCAAACAGGTGTGGCTCCTTACCCTTAAAAGAGTAAACCTGTATCTTTTGATATAATCCTAGTAAGGAGGCTGTAATTCTTCCACAAAAGGCAAATGATTATGCCTCATAAATGTTGAAGGTTACTGTGAATCAACAGAGTGGGTCCTATAAACTACACAAGTTTAAAGACTCTCTCTCATCCTGCTTGAACAAGATGTCCAGAAAATAACCTGGAATGAAATCTCCTACATCTGTTAAACCTTTTGCTGTCCTTGTTACAGCTTAGACTTGGTGATGTGTATTGCACTGCTGAAATCCTTCACCACAGCAATCAATCTTTTTGCTGTCCTCTTCCTGGGAAACTAATCAAAAAAGCTTCTTTCATCATCTTTCAACTGCAGACAGTGAAAGAGGCCAGATCAGGATAACTGTAAAGTCAGTGATTCAATGTCAGGTGTCTCAGCCAGAACAGAGGAAGCAACCAGACTTCTTTAGCGAGACCAAGTAAGCAGTTACTTATGGGAATGATTATCTTCCCTCTTATGTAGATCCTCAGCAACAAGGACTGCTCTTCTCTAGGCAAACGACCCTTGAACAAAGCCCTGAAATGTCTGGTGACAAGGTGATCGCTGCATTCTCATCCACATATTCTCAAAAACGAAAAAAATTCTGGAGGTCTTCTATGTCTTTTTTTGCTACACGAGATAAATCAGAGCGAATCATAACTCGTGCTCTTTGCAAAGATATATGATGTGTCTTTTAGGGAAAAATACAGCCCTTGTGCAAATCTGTACATTAGCAATGAAGCATATTAAATAAATATTTATAATATTCTCTTAAAACACCATTTGCACATCTGAATGCCCCAAAATTTGCAACAAAGCAATAAAATTAATTCTAACTACTTTGGAAGTTTTAACAGTATACAGCAGGCTTCTATAATCTGAGCAAGCCTACTTACAATTAAATAATTCAGATGGAAGAGCACTTGCTTTCTGAATTTTTTAAAATCTCCAGTTTGTCATCCAATTATTTTGTTACCGGCATGCCAATAATGCCAAAATTCTGACTATCACACCAGATAATCAAGTAAATTGGACCTGAAGTCAGATTACTAATGAGCTTTTAGCAATCTGATTAAAAATGTTCTGTTTCAAGATTACTTCAAACAGAACTTCCACCAAGTTTACTTACTCTCACAGGCACACATATGACCACAAGGCTGGAAAAGCACTGCTGCCTTTTTGTCTGAACATACTACACATTCTTCAATCTGTAATGAACAATAAACACACACATGAGAAAAGTTTATCTCCTGCTCTCTACATTAATTTATTTTTACATGCTCTTTGGCATGCATGTGGACTTTAAGAAGCTCCATCTAGTGTTATTTTAACTAATTCAGCACCTCAAAATGCAACTTCAATGAGTGATCACACTGACTTCTAAGAATAGATATTTGCTGGCAATATTTGTATGTTCAGTACACTGACAGGCATAGAGAAGCAGCTAAGACAGCATGTGTTTCTTTTTCTCTGTTCTGTTCTCCTTCTTTGTTCCACCATATATACTTAAATTGGGGTTGTTCAGCCTGGAGAAGAGAAAGCTGCGGGGAGATCTCATTGCAGCCTTTCAGTACTTAAAGGGAACTTATAAGAAAGATAGGGACAGACTTTTTAGTAGAGCCTGTTGCGACAGGACAAAGGGTAATGGTTGTAAACTAAAAGAGGGTAGATTTCGACTAGATATAAGGAAGAAATTTTTTATGATGAAAGTGGTGAAACACTGGAACAGGTTGCCCAGAGAGGTGGCAGATGCCCCATCCCTGGAAACATTCAAAGTCAGGCTGGACGGGGCTCTGAGCAGCCTGAGCTCATTGAAGACGTTCCTGCTCGCTGTTTGGGGGCTGGACTAGATGACTAACTTTAAAGGTCCCTTCCAACCCAAACTATTCTATGATTCTATGAAATTCACTTATAAGAGACTTTTATAGTAATCTGTTTTAATATTGTGGGTTAGGGTTTCTTAAGCCCTTTAATGTGATGAACTGTATATATAGTGTGACTACAGATACCACATACCACTCCATTCATACTGGCCTGGACGACCTCTTCTAGTCCATAGAACTGTTGTCCAAGTTCATTCATTTCTTAGCTTTGCAGATATTACCATAAGTTTTTATAGAAGTATTGAACAGATATTCCACTGTCTCAAAAGAAATCAAAGGAAGGCTATCCACAAAGGTTAGCTTTCACCTGGGAGAGCTGATTTCCATAGATTAGCTTCTTTAGATGGATGAGTGGAAGCAGAAGCCTTACTTTGCTGCTCTGAATCACCCAGTGGCAGAACCTTTTTGCTGACTATAAAGAAAGTCTAGAGAAAAAGGAGCTCCGACTATGTTAACGTTTGGCCTTTGAAAATATGCATTGCAGAATAGTGAACAGTATAAGTAAGAATAAGAGAGTGAATAGTAAAAACAGTACTAATTCATATTTACAACTCCAGTATTTATTCTGAGGTAGGAAAAAAAAAAATCATACCACAGAAGCAGACTAGTCAAATGTGTTAGGAAAAAGATAAAAAGAACAGAGTGGGTTTTCTACAGATCAGAAAACCTGTGTGTGGGACATGAGGGGGTTCGGCTTGCCTGCTTGCTTGTTTGTTTTTTGGGGAGTGGTGGTGGTATTTTGTTTGTTTGTTTTAAAAACAGCCAAAAAGCAACAGAAGGACAAGAATTGGTGATTATGGGGAATAAAAGAATACCCAAACAGAAAAGCAACAGGGATGCACCCATATAGTCACAAATACTTAGGAGCAAACATTTAAGAAACCTGAGGACCTTACTGGGACTAGGTCCCCAAAATAGGGCACAACTCGTTGATACTCTGAAGGAGAAAGACAGCATAATGAAATTCATGATTGTAAAGAAAGAGAAGGTAAAAGTTGAAAGTAGTTATTAACTTCAAAAACAAGCACGTATTAACTAACTCGGTTTACCGTCAAATCATCTTTCCAAGAAGCCCTAAGGAATAGAAGAACTCAGAACTGAATATTGCTGAAGGAAATTATACTTCAGGGAAAGCACCAATTTATCTTAACATGCGGAAAAAAATACCGGGGGGGCAGGGAAATATCTGTTTAAATAAAGCATCCCTTGGTGACTGTATTAGAAACTCTGAGGACCTGAACAATGAAGACATTGCAAGGTGGGGAGAGAATGAGGGGCAGGTAGGACATGAGTACAGGCAAACAGAAAAGAGTAACATACAATGTTGGGACAAGGTATCGTTATGCTGCAAAATTAATTCCATCCAGTGAGACACCTGTAAGGCAAAATACCACTTAAAATATACTACACTTTTCCCTGACCTCTTTTTTTTTTTTTTTTTACTTTTCCATTAAAAACAGAAAGAGAACTAATAAACTTTGGAAGTTTTTACCTTTGTCCTAGACTGAACTTGTTCTTTACAGATGAGGCATTTTTTCACCCGTGGTGAACAAAGAGAACACGTGGCAATGTGTCCACATGGGCCAAACAGAGTATCTCTCTTCATGTCTGAACACACCATGCATTCTTCCAAGGTTTCAGAATCATTGTTGATCATAGATGGACTTCGGGAACCAACCTGACCACTACAAAGAAACCTTGCAGTCAAACTTACTTTTAAGAATTTTTAAAATTCTTTATTTAAAATGCACATCAATTAGCTGTTTACCTCAGTGTATCACCATAAAGCAATCCAAACTGCATTTCCCCAAACATACAGTTGACACCAGAGTGCAAGGTCATATGGTCAGATAAGACATTGTACAGAAACAGGCCACACAAGTCAGAATAGCATCTCATGAACGTAAAAACCCCTTCCCTCCCATTCTAAGAGTTTACTTTATTAACAGAGATGTACCCTCTAGATTTAGAACTGCACAGCTTAACACTTTAACCTTCAATATACTTCCAATACTTAGCAAATGACAGGCTTGTAAAAGAACCCCCAAACTCCCACAATGAATTCACCTCGGATCTTTGTCCTATGCTGCTGCTCACCCAGCAGAGGGAGCGCGGGTTGAACCTAACCAGCCCATTCCTACAGCCCGCTCAAGCCCATAAAAGGTGGTGAGAAAGAACAGCCACAGGGATGAGGCTGAGACAGACAGACACAGACAGAAAGACTCTGAAGAAAATAAGCACCTTACACACCAGGGTAGCATCAACAAAACCAGTCTCTCTTCATGACATTTTGCAAGTACATTTTTGATTTCCATGCAGGAATTAAGGATGAGAATCATGTAAGCCAATGGTGGGAACACAACTAGGACAAGTAGCAAGCTGAAAATTCTCATACTGCATGCACTTGATAACATGGCATTTCACTGAAATCAATCCCTAGAGAAGTGCTTCTGAGACATCAGACCTACCCTCTCCTTCTTTTACAGGATCATACAATCATTCAGGTTGACAGGTACCCAGGAGGTCACCCACTCAAAGCAGGGTCAACACTGAATTCACATCAGGTTATACCCAGCTTTGCCCATTCCAGTCTTCAAAACTTGCACAGACAGATATTTCACAACCTCCCTGGGTAACCTGCCCAATGCTTAGTTATTCTTCCAGTGATTCCCACCCCACCTCCTGCCCTTTTCTGGAATGGTTTGAAGTTCTACCAACCTCCAACTGCACATTGCCACCTTCCCATTCTCCTCCCTCCCCTATTAACATGTATGAAAGTCCCATAAGACTTGTGTAAGTTTCAACTAGTGTATTTGAAAATAGCATTCAATGTACTATAGAATACCAAGAATTAATTGAAAGTCAAGAAAAATCTTGTATATTTTAACACTGTTGCTAATAAAGGCACAATGTTTTAAATTCATCAGTTAATCTATAGAAAGCAGAGATTTGGAAACTGTGTATTTTATCAATATACAAACCTGACTTTTTCTTTGTGACATTTAGCCAATGCTTTGCAGAGACTAGGATCAGGGCAGAGGTCGAGAGGAGACTGACCCTTCTTATTACGAATGCTGAGGTCAGCTCCGTTGGCTGCCAGGAAGCAGGCAATAGATGCTGCACTCTTCTTCTCTGCTCCCTGAGTGCCAAGTCCCATTATTAACTGAAAGAAAACAAATATGTAAGCAACTTGAGAGACTCTCTAAACAGTTAGGAATAGTCTGGCTGAAGGAAAACTATTTGACGTGCGCACATGCACATACACACGTACGAACAAATCTGTAGGCCCAAGGAAGCATCTCTAGAACTAAAATCAAAACAATTGTATGGTTGCTTAATATTGAGTCAGCTATACTCAACTTTCCTTTAAGGAACTAAAATTCATCAAGAAATAGTCCAGCTATTGAAGGATTCAATCTGCTGCACACCTATACTCACTTTTGAAGTGGCTGTCCTTCTATATAAGCACTGTAAAGGGTAAAGTCCCAGTGGGTATATTCAGAATACACTCAAAGTATACTGAAATTTCTGAGTGCAGAGAAAATGCTACCACCACCACACTTGGACTGAAAATGCAGTTGGGCAGAGAAGTGAATACACACTTACTTTTAGTCTAGTGAGTAAAGCACCAGCACAAGAAAGACTTGATTTCAGTTGCCTTCTCAGCCTGGAGGGATTTAAACTCACATACCTGTCCTCCTGGGCTAATCATGTAACGCTCCTTCACCCTATTACAACTATTACTGTATTTCTGCATTAGCATACTGATTAGGCATAATTCACAGAGCCAGCTAGAAAAATAAAGAGAGAAGGCTCACTACCATAGCCCAGGCAAGGAGAGGATTCACCTACTCTGGAGCATTCTGGGCCTGCTCCAACATCTTTTTGTATTAAAGCTTGATCAGATAAAACGCATAAGTATAATGCAGACTACATATAACACAGAACTGCTGGCACCACTAAGAATCCCTCGGCAAACTACGCTAGACTATATTCAAAACGAACAGCTTTGGCACAGCTAGGACAACTCCAATTCAAGGAGTTTTAAGTGCTGAATTCCAGAATTATAAAGGCTTTGACACTAGGATAAAGGCAGGATTTTGTATGCACCTCTTTCCCATTAATTGGTTTAAGTGCCCAACTTGACTGATGTACATCTATCTTTGCCACTTTCAGTTTGTACAATCTATCCCTGCAGGTCGTCTTCTAAAAGCTGGGTGTCAAGTATCACCCCTAAAAATTACGTAATTTTGGCTGGATTAACAACCATTTTGTATTTAAAGAACTAGATGTGCTATTTCAGACACAACAGAATACAGGAGTACATTTAAAATACCAGATACCTGTCACTGTAGCCCTAGAGGTTGCATATCTTGAAGTCTGAACTACAAAGAAAACAGTTTTCAAAACCCTTCTAGTTATTTCCCCCACCTCTCAGAGGTGACTTGTGAAGAAAAAGGCTTGGTTTGGGTCCATGTCTTGCAGGAGATGAAGTATGTATTAGAAGTCTTTACCCTGCCTTGACAACTGCAAGATTATCCTTCTCATCATATAGCCACCCAGTTTCCTAGAGAAGCAGTTTTTTTAAACCTCAGTCTATACATTTTTTTCTAGTTCAGAGTTCTTATATGAATAAGTATTACTGAGGTGCTACGAGACCCTTGAAGGTCATTTCATGAATTCACAGATACTCATGGTCCTTCATTCTTCCCTATGATCAGATAAGAACAGTACAACTTGAAAGACTTCATACCAGGAAAACCAGTAAGTTATGGAAAGAAATTGTTTTGTGGTGTTCAGATCACGGAACATTTTTGTTTATAAATTCAGACCATATTTCTGCACCTCAATTACAGCATTGGCTGAAGTGAAGCAGAGATTTTATCTAGCTTCAGTCCGAGTACCTTGGACCATGCCAGTAATCCAGCCAAGGTAGCACAACGCCGACTGAAAGCTGATTTGCTCCAAGGTTGGCAGAGTAGACTTTTTGAAGGCATGCCAACACCAAACAATTTGCTGTAGTCCTTTCTTACTTGCTGGGACAAGAGTTCTCTTACCATCCACACTGGTACCTCATGGGCTCTGAGCTGTTCCTGAACGAACAGCTATTGTATCTCCAAGAGGAAAATCAAACACAGCTAACAGGATAGTTTGCTTCACTCGGTGTGGATATACACTATGCCAAGACTGGCTCCTCCACCTGGAACAGTCATCAACATTATTCAAGAAAATCTTGAGTCCTAAAATGCCTCTGTGTGCTGTATGCTTTAAAAACACCAAGACAATATTGCATCCCATGACACTTCTCTGGTAGTCTGCAACATTTCAGGCACACAGAACGAAAAAAAAAAAAAAAAGAAAACAAACCACAACTCAACCCATGCACAAAAATAAACATTATGTCTTAGTGCCTATTACGGCTGCAGCAAGCCTCCTCTGGAGGGTGCTTGCCCTGAGACGCATCAAGAAAAGCCAGTCCCAGCTAATTCACCTGCGAGAGAGAAGACTCAGTGTAATCCACACAAACAGCATAAATAACATCTAAGTTATCGTAGCTACTGAGCTATCTTTGAAGCTATAAGCACCTAACTGACTTCCATTAGAGTTTCTTTAGTTTAAGTTAGGATTTAGGTGGTGGCATCACTTTGAATCTTGAAAGCATTTTAAGGGTCTGAAAAATGCCTATATTAAAATAAATTACACTAAATGACCCTGGGAAATGATACATTTATTTAGAATAAAAACTACCCTAGACCAAGGAACACTGCACCTATAATAAAGCAACTGAAACAACTTTTTTTGTGGTGGTGGGGACTGTACTTCAGATAATTTCTTCTCCTCCCGGATGTACAATCACCACAGTGTGCTGGATGAAAAACATTTAAAATTATTTAAAGAAATGGGGCTCACCGCTCATAGCACTTGAACACAGAAACGTTTTTCAGATTGATACCTAAAACGTGTAGGGCTTTGTGTATTATCAAGATTGCTCACTACATGCATTTTAAATAGTCTATCAAAAAACAGCTGAAGAAACCTGACAAAAATTGTTTTAGTTATTACAACAGCTTAATGTTGACATTCGGAAGGAATTACTAAAAATCAATGCTAAAGAACTCATTCCATGTAATGCCACTTATGAAATAAGCTCACGATATCAGTAAAAAGTTTGTTTCATATTTTAAACCATGCTCAAAGCAAAAAATAACAAATGGTAAAATTTCAATGGAGCTGCTGTCCAACCAACTTTATCAAATATGAAAAACATCTAAAATCCTGCAAGTTAATTTTTTGTTATTTTTCAGTTTATTCAAACAAACAAAAAAAAAATCATTATTTGTTGAAGTACTATACTACAAAGAGGCACCCTACGGGGCTAGTAGGTTGGTATCTTCAGGACAGTAGTCCAAAGTTGATTAAAATTTAGCCAAGCAAAAATGAGCTCTAAAATACTAAAGATTTATGTATCAGATTTGCTATCACATAGACTAAAGGAATCTGATGTGTTTTCCCTATCTTTAAAGAAATTAATAAAAATTAATCCCAAAAATACAGATTCCATGAATTTAACTTAAGTCATCATATTCACAAAAAGAAAGCCTTTCTGTTTCTCAGACGAAACTATTAATCCTATTTATCCTCTATCATCCATCACCTGTATTTGCAATTCTACACAAGACATTACAAATGTGTCCTTGGATCGCTTTAAAGGTCCAGGTGCCTGCACATATTTCAGCAGCCTAGATCCTGTCTTTTTCTGATATATGATTTTGGGCCAAAAGGTGGCCTACTATTAAAAGTGTTCGCTGGTAAAATCTAGTTTATAGCATTTTTACATTACCCTTATTTAAATAAAGGTAGATAGGTACAAGTATTGTTCTCAATTACTATTTTCCACAAAACAACATTTTCAAGATAGCTTGATCTGCTGATCACCTTAAAGAGTTTTCAGATATATCTTAGCCCAGCTTTACTCCATCTTTTACATTTCAGCCACATCTTATGTTGCTGCCACATAAAATTAAAATAAGCAAGTTTTCGCCTCTTTTCTGGGGGCACGTATCTTCTCCACACCACTTAAACCTCCCAAATTTGTTAATTAGGCAAAAAAGTTTTTTTTTGCAGCTAAACAAAGTGCAAAAAAATGACCAATAGTTTGATCAAGCTAATACAGGAGGTACTGGTTGATTGTGATTTTTTTTTTTTTTTTTTTAAACATCAGCACATTTTTAGGTGACCGGAGAGATATAATCATGCAGGGATTTGTTTGTTTGTTTGTTGTGTTGTCTTCCCCCTGCCTTTTTTTTCAATTATTATTTTAATAGGAATAAACCAAAAGTTTAATTATTTTTTTTTAAACCAAGGATACGTCTCAAATGAAACTAGAAGAAAAAAACTAAAATTTAAAAAGGCGGTAGAAAAAAAAAAAATCCCACTTCTTGTGTTAAAAAACTCAAACCACAACAACTCTAGTTTCATTGTGAATGCCACTAATAAGATGGGCAACAGAGAAAACTATTTATGAAATACTGAATCACAGAAAAAGTATTTCTCTCCTGTTCATTCGTTTCACAGTTAAATACATGCACACTAAGTATTTTGGCCACCTCTCACAGAGTCCATTTCAGATCATGGAAACAACTGAGCTGTAATTGCTTTCCTCCTCTCACTTAAAAGGACACTAGCATTTTCTTACATATGCCAGTCATATTTTAAATCTTTTTTCAAAGCTTATTCCAGTGTATTTCAGCAAGATTAAGTAACCAGTCTGAAAAACATTTGTTGTACAGTGGAATTATTGTTTTGAACAAAGGCTTTTTAATAAAGTTGTTGGGTTTTTTTTTAATTAAATGAATGGCATTTAACATTTAAAGACAAATTTGTTGTCCCAGTCACTCAAAAATTTTACTTCTCCTTTGCCTATCAACAAAACTATAAACTTCAGTTTTGCATATAGTGTTCACACAGCTTTTTGGGTGTGAGTGTTTCTTTTTTCAATAAAACATTTTGACCTTTATTACCTGGAGTTTCTTAGACTATTACCTTACTACAGCACAATTTCTGAAATGAACTCTGTCAGAAAGATACATAACAATAAACATATAAAGATTAAGAATGCCTTATTCTAACAGAATAAGCTTTCAGAAGGTTATAGAAGCAGCTAAACAATTAAAGCTACAAGGACATGCAAGATGTTGAATCACAGAAAACAATTTTAGTCTTATTCTGTACTGTGATACTGCTTATTTTTCTTTCCTAAAAAGCTACTTTTGGTTTTTTTGGTAGCCATACACGTTCACTATGGAAGACAGATTTGTAGAAATATTTTGAACTAAATAAGCCATTTTTTCTTTAACAAAGACAATAACCACATGTGAAAAGCCACATATAACAATACGATTTCTGTCTACACTGCAGTCTAATCCAGAATGTCTATGTAAATTTATGCTGCCAGTTCAACAGTACAGAACCAGACAAACTAGACAAATAAAGAGACAAATGTGCAGGGGGAAAAAAAAAAAAGTAATAAATAAATGCATTTTATTTACTGTGTTCTTTGATGGCTCCCAAGCAGTATCTACCTTGCCCACATCTTGCATGTCTTGGAGTTGGCGGAGCTGTGACAGGGTGTGGTGTCTCAGGGCTTCATGCAGGGGAGTATCCCCATCTTTATCCTGAATATCCAGCTTAGCACCTGCACGGACTAAGAGCTGAAATGAGAGAGAAACCAATTTAAAACTCAAAAAAAAAGCGCTATTTATTCCTTTTAAAACTAATTTCAGTGAAACTATGGTTTAGGATGCTCTAGCAGGTCCGAAAAGGGTTATTCTTATCTTGCTACAATTTGCAGTTGAGTTTATTTAAATTTATTTTCCATACTTGGAGCTCAGCCCTCAACTGAAGCACTTATCTCTTCAAATATCAAGCTTATTTCAGCAGAAGCCTAATGCTTGCCTGTCCTCTGAAGAAGCACTACAAGAGATGCTATTTTAGAGGATTCTTTATACTGTCCAAAACCTTTAATTCTTACAAGATAGCCTACAAACAATGTAACATATTATAGCAATATATCAGAACCAGAACAAGCGGGCAATAATTTAGATAAGTACATATTCTTTACTATTAGGTTTCAATGACCTCAAAAATCACCACTTTCACACCATGCTAAACTTTACAACTTAATTTACAGTATCCTCCCATTAGCAAAGTAGTTAAGCATGTACTTAGGTTTATCTTTATTCAGCAGAAGACATAAAAACCACTGACACTATTAAATACTATCTTAGAACACTTTAGAAAGTAATGAACTGTAAGACTCATCTTTAAGGCTAATTTTAGACACACATTCCAGGTCACATGACACAAAAGCAAGCACAAGGCTGCACAGGCCCTCCTATTCATACTGCCTTTGCATACAGCCCTCCCATAATTCGATACACCAGAACTTCCTTAAATATGCTGTTAAACAAAAAAGTCAACACAGGCTGACAAATAACAATTGCCCCTAAAAATTAAACCCTGTCATTGTTGCTATTCAGAAACCTGTAGATAGCAGCTGAGGTCTTAACTTTAGTTTTGAGCTTCTGCTACTCTGCAAAGTTCAGATTAGCAGCAGAGACAAAAGGCATAGCCTAGAAACAGGAATACATGAAGTGGGATCTCCCTCTTCAGAACCTGCATGCTTACAAGGATCTCAGCCTCTTGGAATCAAAGAATCTCAGACGCTAGAAAAGGAAAATAGCTTAACAGGAATTCAGAACTTAATTTCCAAGGAAATACCTGCCTGTAATTGACTGCAGCTTACCATTTTCCCCAACCTTTTCTTCCACAAGTGAAACCAAGAAAACCAGATAATAGTTGCAACACTTTCCCCCCAACTTCTTACACTCTCTAAATGGACTTACTCTGGCCCAACTTTTTTTTCTCATATTCTTATCTTGTGTCTGCCACTAGCTATTTACTGCTTACGAGCTTCTTCTGGAAGAAAATCTATAAAAGAACTCTTTTCAGAGCAACCTAGAATCCTTAGCTGCCATGAAAATTCAAAGCCTTTGCAGAAGTTAAAAAAAAGAAAAATTAAAAAAAGCAAACCACCACCCTTTGTCATGGGAGCAGGGCTTTTAAAAGAACCCTGCTACCTTTGACCACTATTCCACAGATGCCTGAGGGTACAACCCAGCCCTGGAAGGTACCCAATAAGAATTAACTTTGAAATACAGAGCCAACATGTTCTTTGCATGGTTGCATGAGTTATTTTAGGACTTCTCAAAGTTAATCCAACTCCAAAGTATGGATACTCTACAGGGTCATTCACTTAAACATTCTCGGATATAAGCATGTCAGTCCAATACACATACTAGTTCTTCAACATGCCTACCTTCCTGCTCATCTGCTACATTAGTATTGTATTCCCAGGTACCGTGTCAGTTCCAGAAGGGCACAAGAGCTCACCAAATATAGCTGCGAATAGCTTGCAGGATGCAAGTGACACTGACTCTAGGAAACCATTCTTTTGGTAGCAAGCAGTTCCAGATATAGGGCCATATCACATGTTTCACTGTAATGGGATCACATCCATCAACCCTTGGAGATGGAGAAACCTTACGGCAAAATAACGCTAAACAGAACCACAGATATAGGTCTGCATAGGGGGGACAATTCTCTGTAGGCCTAAATAAGAGATAGCTTTTACCATGCCATGACTCTTACTCTATAAAGACAAAAAAAAAAAAAAAATTACTCAGAGGGCCAAGGCCAAGTTGATGTATTCACTCATAGGGAACACATCCTACAGCAGTGAGTGCTCTCTCTGAGCCTCAACAACCCACGCTAGCAATCCAAACACTAAGTCACATAGGTCCCCTATGGACAAGGCACACAAGCCATAACGGGCAAGCTGTGCCAGACTCCTGTTTCCTGTGCCAGTCACAAAGTTTTCTTAAACTGAAGTATTAATTTTTGCAACCATGCGAGCAAAAAACAGAAACAGCACGACTTTCACTGTTACTGCTTAATAGCCCTCCCAAGCTAAGAACAGGGAGTTACACACTCAGAAGACTGAAAAGTGGTTAAACTCGTAAAAAGCTGTTTCACTTAGCTACAATTTGCAAAAGTTATCAGCAAGAATAATTACTCATACAGCAAGAGGCATCAGAAATGCTATTTGAAGGTCCCATTACAGGATCACAAGACTCAGACATGTAACAGCGGAACACATTCCCCCTTACTCAATAAGGAGGGATGCTGGAATTGGCAACTGCACAGAGGAAACTATAATGTACATGTACAAAAATTTAGCATTCCTGAAGTGTCCTTCATATTGCCGACTGACCTTCTGAGCAAATTAGCAGGTTTCTGAATTGACCAAAATTAATCATACAAACATTCAAGGGCTACATGTTGTTAAATCATTTTTTAAATATTCATGAAGCACCCATGTTTTAACAGCTACCATCAGCTTGAATCAAGTACCATTAACCATATGGCTTATTGCAAATAAGATACTTACCCTAACAATTTGTGTATGCTGTCGTTCAACGGCAAGGTGCAGAGCAGTTTGCTGGTTAACATTCTGGATATCCAGGTTAGCATTGCCCTGAAAGATATTCAAAGCATTAGATCATTATCATCCCAGCAGTTCAGCTACAGGCAAGGCAGTCCACTAGGGCACTGAATATGACCCTGAATATGATTCCTAGGTTTGGAGGTTTGAGAGCAGAAGTGATTAAATACTTTAATTATTCACTGTACAGATGTTGATCTGTTGAATCGAACGACGTATCAAATTCTTCGGTCCCTCTGCACCATTAGGCCGCTGTAATGATCTCAAAGGCAAGTTTGACCTTTACAGCTCACCACGTGTCCTTCCCTGCTCCATCGCTTCTGCATTGCAATTGCAGGTGTAAAGCAGCAAACTATTTTCACATCAGATGGTTAACTGAACTGTGACATTTAAATCCTCCTGAGAGAAGAGTCCTACCTGATGCACCAAAAGTTCAGCCACTTCCACATGATTATTGAGAGCTGCCAGATGCAAGGCAGTGTAACCATCATCTTTCTTCTCATCAACAATCCATGGTCGTGGTAACTTGGACAACAATACACGCATTGCACTGAAATAAACATCCAGAGATGGCATAAATGCACATATAATGTATTTGTTGAATGACAACAGGACAACAGTAAAACAATATTCATTCTCAGAACTACAAAGTAGCAGTAGCTAAAATAACATTACTGTTTTTTCAAAAAGAGAAAGTGGGTGAAAAGCTATACCAACAGTTCCAAAGAATAATTTCATGTTCAGTTCCTTCTAGTTAAAGCATACAAACCATACAATACCCAAAACAGAGTGTGGGAATCAGATTTTTTTTTTTTTTTCAGAAGAATGTTATCTAACAGTAAAAATTACCTTAAAAAAAAGTATTCATACAAATTCTGAAACATAGATGACAGAAGTTGTTCTCCCTCAAAACCCTTATAGCATCCTTTACTTAATTATTTAATAAGCAAGTTCCACTACATTAGATTTCTTGAAAATTATCACTTTATAAACTGATGCCATTGGCTGTAACAGTTAAGACTTTCAATTTCTGAGATAAAACTGGAGTAAGACCTCTTAGGCACAGAAAAAATAAATGCTGAAACTGTAAAGCAAATATTAGTGGAATATTTTCATAACAGATAGTGGCTGAGTATAACATACCATGGCAGTGTCCAATATTCCACCCCACTTCTGTATGTGCTTACCAAGATGTGTACCAAAGGGGATTTATTATCTTACACCTCAAATTCAAGGGTGGGGAAAAGCAACTTGATTACTACAGTATTAAAGCAGACTAAAATCCATGAAGTCCAAAGACTGCAGTGTTAAGGGTATTAATAACACAATGCTAGATAAACAAATTGCTCAATCTTGTATTCTCTCAGAAATATACTTAAGTTAATGTGTCTTCACTTAGCTTTTGGAATATGTAACTAACCAAACTTAAATCCCTTATTGTCTTATCTTTATAAACAGCACATGCAGCTCCTTTATGACAGCTCCTCAGACAGAAAGAGAAAACCAGAAACTGCTACCATCTTGTGCCAGGAAATCTTCTGTCATCTCATATTTCCCTACCATTGAAGCAATATGCTATTTACAGGAGAAAACAGAGCTTCTTCACAAAATTCAAACTTTAAAATCCAAGTAATACTAGCTAATGCAAGTGGAACCACTTAGTCACAGAATGCCTTGCAAAGCAGATACCATAAAACAGTTCTTCATTAGGCACCTGATATTGAAAACATGGGATCCCAATAAGCCTCAGAAATATCCTCATAAAACAAGCCTCTTAGCTTTTACTTTAAAATATTCTCAACAGATAGCAATAAGATGACCGCACTGTCAAGTAATAACTGAGCTCCTAATTCATTCCAATAATCTGTTACCTTGAACATCCACACTGCATAAGTGCTATTCACTCCTAAGCTCTCTTTTAGAGTAAGCCAACGAGTTTCCTATAAAACAAACAAACAAAAAGCTGTGGTTCTGGGGATAGCTCACTCCAATGAGCACTCCTGAAAAGCAGAAGAGTCCATGAGGTAGACTATTGTACCAGTAAGAACGTGCACTCCTTCCTACATGCTGCTTGGACACTATCCTAACAGACCCTGACTTCTTAAGCATCTCCATTTTCTCCTGCTACTGCACTGAGCACGCAACATAAATCCTCAGTTTCACACTTAATACACCCCCCAGATTCAGAGTGTCTGAAGGAACCACAGCTAAGCAACTGCATCTTCAGGCCACAGGATCACCCAGGCCCACAGGAGACCCATGACCAACCGCTACGTGAAGCGGCCGCAGAGTGGACATAAGCACTTGGCCAGTAACTGCATGCATTTTGTAGTCTGTGGGTTATCTCGGTCTTTTTAGACTACATCAAAATCACAGCTTTCTCGAGGTAAGCCAATAAATAAGAAACCATTTGCAACCTCTTAGGATTTTTTCTTTTCCTGGCAGGGCTAAGCTTCTCACTTCCTCACAGTCCAAATCACTTATAACACAGCAAAATAAGACAACAACACTTAACAGATTGTACATTGCTCATTGTGAACCATTGCTCAGCCTCTATTCATAACACCTTCTACAGCTCTGTCACGCGCTAGGAAAAGAGACTAGAATATTTGGAAAAAAAACCCGCCAATGTTAATTCTTTGAGAGATTCATTTATGCAGAAGTTTCCAAAATCAAGGACATGATTTAGTAAAACAAGTTACCAAAGCTTTAAGAAATGTAGCAAAATAAACGAATATTAGTTGCATTGATAAACATCGTTTATTTTGTAATGAAATGATGTATTTTCAAACCTAGGATATAAATATGTCTCTGGTTCAACATCAGAACTGTTGCTAGCTGCCTTAGAGAGGGATCAAGTCTGGAGCACTGTGGTTCGTGTCCTGTCTGGACTGTACCTGGGCACACCACCATCAGCTCTTCAGAAAGCCGGGCTGATACAGAGCACGCGATACCAGCAGCACAACAAGCCAGTCTACTTTCTACAGTGGCTTCCCACAGGGTATCATGTCATGTAAGTTCTTTATCTTCACCTGCCAGGCTCAGTGCTTCTAAAGACCTCATAAAGCTCTGGAGTATCTACTGTGGATCATCGAAAAAACACAACAAAAATTACCTGAAAACTCCTTATGACCGACAGAAGCGATATGACCACTGGAAGTGACCAGTAAAAGGTGGGGCAACAATGACTTAAGAAAAAACCCAAGGTAAAGAGTTGTTTTTTTTTTTTTTTTTTTTTTACAACTGCAACTACAAGTTGAAGAACGCTATGGGAAGGCACCAACACTCAAATGTGCATTTCTCTAATGACAGCCAGCTTCTCTCCAAAGCAGCTCTAGCCACTAAACAAGGAACCATCCTAATCAACTCAGATGATATTTTATATCCTTTTCTTCGGTAAGGAAATAAGGAAACTGCCAACTCCACAGATAAATAAAATAAAATAGAATTTAAAGTACATTCACACACTTTAGCAGATGCATTGAGAAGTGAATATACTTCAGAAACATTATTGTTGCCATTTCTTTAACGCCTCTCATCTTTGAGAGAAAAGTAAGAAATTAATTGACTTAATATTTTGTATGCTACAAAAAAATTCACTCATCCTCATATTTGTAAGAGGGCCAGCCTTACCAGATCCTCTTTCAAATCCTTTCCTATTTAGTGTGTTGTCAAATACCAGGAAAATTTTCATCTTAAGTTCAACTTCAAAATATTTGGGAGCTAAGACCGGATCTTGCTTTCATGTAAGTGAAATGCCTGCTACATTTTTGGATGCTTTTAAAATGCATTGGTTCTGCTGAAAAAAACAGAAGGACCAACAAAACAAACAGCTTCTATGTGTAATAGATTTTTATCTTATTTTTCACAGCAAAGCATCAGAGGGCCAGTAACTACTCCTCAGTTGCTTCTGCCTATGCAAGTTAGAGACCACATCTCTATCTTCCAGGCTGTGCTAAATTACTGGACAGCAGGATGGAAAGACAGTTTTATGGACATGACACTTCAAAATTCTGCAAGACATTAATATGCTACAAACGGCAAATTCTTTTATGATGCTCAGTGGCTGCATCCTCCTTCTCATTAGCTGAGAGGTAGTTTCTTTCAATGCACAAGATCCTGTTCCTTCACGCTGCAGCCTCCCTTCCTACAGCTATTCTATTTTGCAGGATTTTCTAGAGCTGCTGCCAAAATTTTGACAGCTAAGTGGTTACCATTCACAACAGTACTCACTGGAACAGGCATGCACTGTATCATAAAAAGTCATATTAGTGAATTAATGTTGCATGCCAATTACACAGTAATTCTTGATTCACTTTTCCACACGAAGTGTTAAAGAAGCAGTCAAGTTGTACTGCTCCATTTTCCGGACCACAACACAAGTGTGGTCCTGAAAACTTGCTTTCATCTTATACACATTAAAACAGACCACAGACTACTTTCACTGTAGCTGTATTGAAAAGACCAAGAAAACAGCAAATCTAACAGTAACCCTGACCATGAACTATCATCTTCAGTGTATTCAACTGTTACAGTTACATGGCTAATTGAGTAGCTGCAAAGATTATTGGTAAAATGCTTAAAACTCTTATTGAAACACCGAAATTATGTCATCGCTATGCTCTTTAAAGATTACTACTAAAGCATTATTGACAAAAACAATTTTGTAACAGGTAAGCTTTGGCATTTGTTGGTCTGCGCTAT